CTAAACTAAACTAAACTAAACTAAACTAAACTAAACTAAACTAAACTAAACTAAACTAAACTAAACTAAACTAGTAACATTTCTCCAGTTTCATCATCTACCCCTCAGCCTTAGAATTTTTGAACATTCTTACAGTATCTTCCTTTTCATCATTTTTTTTCTCAGACAACAGCATTGATACATTTGTTTTTTTGACAGATTTCTAAAATATTTTTTTCCAACAATCCCCACATTATTTCATCACTTTTGGTTTCTAATTCCAGTAATTTGCAATAGGCTCTTTGTTAGTCTTAGTCCAAAACATTTTTTTTTTAATTTTCAGCAAAGCCATCCCATATTTTCTGTTTTTTAAATCTTAAATGTTATTTTCTGCCTTTGACTACATTGTTTCCAACTATCTTTTTCTGATCCTCATTTTTAGCAGCAATCATTCTCTTGCTTGCTTTTTTCTCCTGTCCATAGTCTTTTTCATTTCATCTTTCCATGTAACATCCTTCCCAGTAACATAACTCCATACACGTCTGTGGCATTCTGAAACATAATATTTTCACTCTGTTCCAGGCATCTTCCACATTATTTCCTTACCTTCACTTTCCATTCATTGGAATGCAGATTAAACTATATTCTTTTTTATAAAGGACTCACACTCTTTTTCTTGCAGACATTGTACTTTCATTCATTTTTCACTTTCTTTCCTTTACTTCCCCCCAGCCCCCAACCTGCTGTTTTCACTACCAAGACATAGTATATCCCATATTTAGAACTTCTAACCACCCTTGCATCCTTCACTAATTCTTTCTTTCATTGCAAACAATAAAAAAGAAAATCATGATTTTAGATTCATATTCATTCTAATCCAGCTCAACATATGAAATGATCAACTCTAGAAAGACTATAATATTAATGAATTGCCAAACATGTAACAAACAACTGTGAGGTACCCCATTTATTTAAGCAATAGATTTGAATTTTGACCATGTTTCTTCTCAATGCAAAATATACCACATTTTATTTTGATAAGAGGTAGGTAGTGAACTTTTCTCAAGTACAGTATCTACCTTAACATTGCAATATCTCAGATACCAGGATACAATGTTTCTACTTTTCCATCTCTATTGCATTTTTTTCCCAAAAAGCCCCCCCCAAAAGTTGCACTTTGATCCTTAAGACATTAAAAAAATGCCTTGAAAAATAGTATTGAATTCCATCTTATTCATTGATTAAGAGCGAGCAGATTCTTCCTCATATATGCTGCAAGTTAAAATACATTTTCAGTCTTCTGTTTTCTGTTCCATTTCCACTTGACCATAGGAATAGACATAGAGGTGTTCATTTTAATGAGATTCATGTTTTTCCCCCTTTTACTGCCATTCTCTGATTCTAATTTTATTTTTTTTTATGACAGGGATGTTAATTTTAGAGAAAATGGGACATTTTCTTCATACCGACGACAAAGTAATTACATTTAAAAATGTATATGTTAGCTTTTGTTAAAGGTTATTTCAAGGGTAACCTTAAAAATTCTAGCAGTAGAGTGATATAAACACTTGCATTTGATGGTAAAAATGAAATAGTAAAACAAATGAAAACAATTACATAAGACACAGTTTCAAATTAGATTTTGTAAAAACAAATAATATAGGGATGATTTTTTGGGTGGGGTTGCTGCCAGTTCTAATATACATTATTATTTATCCAGCACTCTAATTCACATAATTATGAATTATTTAGCCCAACATATTTTACTGCCTAAAGAGAAACATTACAAACTGTTACTTCTCCTTCAACTTAATGTATCCAACTCCATCCAGAGTAGTTTTTTTTCAATCTGGTTATTTTGGCTTCTGAATCATAAAATCCTCCAAATTATTCTTTTTGTTGTTATTATTGGTAATAACAATGTATCAGTAATAAAAAGAATGATTAACAATTCACAATAAACCTTTAACCAAACAGTTCAATGTACAGACACATTTCTCCATCTCTAATTAGCATAAACAGTAACAGTTGCCTTCAGGGATTTATGTGTTCCTAATTCTACATCAGACTTATTTGAACCAGTATTTGAGCTGGTGGTATTGTGATTGGGCTGTATGATTCACGACTGTCTCTGGTTCCACTCCTCAAAGATACAGAGCAACCACCATCTATGTCATATGAAGCCTCAGTCTACCTCTTTCAAAGTCCTTCCAAGCTCTTCTGGTAGATGTCTCTTCTGGGTATGGAAACACTGTGAGTCCTTGAACAGCTATAATTGGTCCACAGCTTCAACTAACAGATCCAGAATGATATGGAGAGGGCTAACACAAGATCTTTCTATCTGTTGTATTTGTCTCTGTATTAATGCTGTACTGTTTATGATTTTATATAATTTTAATTTAATGAACTGAACTGAATATTATTATTGCTCCATAAGTATGGGACATAAATCATCTTAATAAATAAAGTATTTATTTGGTATACAGAAACAGTTATGCCACTGAGAAAGCAGCAAATATTTTGTGGAAGTACCTTTCAGGTACTAATTGGGTAGGGAACAGACATACTCTGATTTTGCCAGGAAAAAGTAGAAAGAAAGAAGGGGCTAATGGTCCCATCTAGGATGGGAGAATTCTACTATATAGACTAGACTAGAGAACAAAACTGAAATAATGCTGATAAACAGAGTCTTTCCTGCTTTCTCCTTCAGGGAACCCAATTTTCCATTCATGTCACCATTGTGAGAAATTCCAGTATTTGCTTGCTAATATTCTTTTTGATTATTCTGCATGGAATAAAATGGTAACCATTATGAAAATAAAATCCACTCACTCTTATGCTTAAATAACATTTGCTTCTTATAAATGTAGTATACAATTCCAAACAATACCTTTCACCTCTTTGTCATTTTTGAACCATCTAATATCTGCAGCTGGCTTACTACCAGATGTTTTGCATGTAAGTTCCATCCAGTCTCCTTCCATAATTGGTGAAATAAATCCACTAATTTGAGGAGTCTCTGGAACACCTAACAAAAGACAAACAAATGAATTACACTCTTGCTGATGTTTTTTTTTTTTTTTAATAGTAAGGGGAAGTAAAATAATAGTAGTGATCAGGAAAATTGCATTAGTAATAAAGTGTGTGTTGCTACAATAGGGGACAAATAATAAATACATTCATTTACACAACAATAATAGGTCTATTACATAACGTATCCTCCAAACCAAATACAGAAGGTGAACTTTGAAAATATATAGATGTGTAAAGCAGACTTTCTTTTTGGTTTTGAGCCAATTACTGCATTTCAGGATTTAAGTAAATCATGCTGTGAAGACAACAGAGATATTCATTAAAACATTTTTTTCAGTAAAATAGCTGTTTGAGAACAAACTGTCAAGAGAATGGGTATGACATTTTTAATAATTTAAAGTATGAGAAAAGAGCCACAGATTAATACCAAATTATATTTATTCCACTTTAATCAGTTAATAATAAACTTAAATTCACCATATCACTTAGTCTTTTCTCTAAACCACACTATGATTTTGATTAACCCACATGATCATTATTTATATAATTTATCTTGTACAAATTACAATTTCATGGTCTACACAGACAGTGAATTTCCATGCACTCTGTGAAATTGGACTCAGGGTACATCTGGAGCTCTGGACCTTTGTGTGTTACAGTTGACAGCCAAACAATTGACAACATTTGGATCTACCAAGAAGTTCAGGAGCCTTTATATTGAAAAGTGGATGAGGTGCCGGCTTTGGGGCAGGAAAGAGCATATCAAGCAGAGCCCAGCAGTTTCCATTTTTCTCACTTGGTCAACACTTTTTGTTTGTATATACATAATCTATATACTCTTTTATCTGTAGTTCCGTTGTACTGCTTCTTCCTTTTCTATCTTTGCCTTCATTTCCACCTCAGTACAAATCCTTCAAAATATATTCTTACTGTCCCCCCCCCCAAATATTTCATATGATGGGATGGTACTGAAATGGGGAGGAACAGAGGAATGGAGTATAGGAGAGAGGGGGAATAGAATGGAGTGCTTACTATTGATTTATCCCTACAAATGAATTTTTGGCCCATGTCATTTTTACACATACTGTATCTTTCATAACTGCATTCATCCTATACTGACATTAATCTGTAGTTTAAAAAGAAATCAGCACCAACATTTGCATTTAATATTTTAAAACATACTTCTTCTGAAATAATTCATTAGTCATATATTCTCTCAAACTACATCTTGATGTTTTTTCCCCCCAAAAAGGACTCATATTGCAACATTTCCAGAATACAACATCTGATGGGTATCTATTTTGCTATCACTAGGTTGAATTTCTTAAATGTCTACCTGTATCATCAGTAGTTAAAGAAATGAAATATGAATTGGAAATATTTAGTCAAAGATGGAAAATAGTTTCAGTGGTTCTGAGTTAAGGACTCAATGAAGCAATAGCAATATAAATAGTTTGCAAAGGAAAGAGGAAGACAACAGAGCTGAAGAAGCAGAGGATAGACTTAATAATATTATACAGTACTGATATTTATTTCTTTCATAGATATGCTGGGAAATTGTTAGTGAAAATTCTATTCAATAAATAGAAATGTCTGTAAACTTCTGTTTTCTACTACATATGGATGTGGTATCACTCCACAATACTAGCATTTTATATTCTAATGTTCCCATTCATAGAATATCAATTGTCTATATATTCATCACTCCTAAAATAACTGAATGAACCAGCCATATTTCTATTAAGTTGATCCTTATGAATTCTTCATTTTAAACACAGTCAGCCTCTGAACATCATATTTCACTATTTATCATCATCATCAATTCTATATTCAAAACCCAGCTGTTGCAGATTATGCCCAACAGCCCCCTCTGAAAGGTCAGACTTAAGTAAGTATACTGAATCATGTGAAGCTACTGCTTATTGGCTTTCATTTCAGACATAGGGCAGATTATGTGTTATGCATTGTTATAACAAATAATGTTGGACATCTGCTTCAACAGTTCCCCAACCAAGGCTTAAAATCTGCTAGTTAATTATGCTGGACTATTTCTTTTCATGTTTCTTATTTTTCTAGCAAATCTGGCAGCAATTTTGCATATGTATTGCTTGTTGAAAAATTAAATGGCTAGAGTGAAGCAGAAGAATGAAAATCGGTGCCATTAAGAGAGAGAGAAAGGGAAAAGTATTTTCTATGGGCTGAATAAAAAAGAGTAGAGAAAGCACGTGATAACAAAGAGCAAGAAAAAGTTCATACAAAAGGAGGGCCAAAATGGATAGCAACTGAAAACAAAAAGATTTAATGATAATACAGGTAAAAAGATAAAATATGATAGATTAAAAAGAAAGGAAATAATTGACAGACACAAGGCAAATCTTAGTGTGTTAAATTTGAGTCTAGTCATGCCTCTTTCAGACATAAAACATATAATATATAGTCCAGTAGAAGTTACGGTAATAGTGCAATTGCAAACAAGATCAGATTCTACCGTAATTACCCATCAAATTATAGAATAGTTTTATATAAATGTTAAAATATGCAGCAGATTACAACCCTATGCTTACCATGGCATAAATACTGTGAATTCAGTGGAATTTATTTCTGAGTAAATATATATAGTTCTGGGTAAGTACACTAAATGAGAGCCAGTGTGGTGTAGTGGTTAAGGCACCAGGCTAGAAACTGGAGATGGTGAGTTCTAGCCCCACCTTAGGCACAAAGCCAGCTGGGGCCAGTCATTCTCTCTCAGCCCTAGGAAGGAGGCAATGACAAACCACTTCCGAAATCTTGCCAAGAAAACCACAGGGACTTGTCCAGGCAATTGCCAGAAGTCAACACTGACTCAAAAGCACAAAAACAACAAAGAGTATACTAAGTACTGTTCTACAAAACAAGGTAGGTAAACAGAATACATCCTACAGTCTTTTTATCTTTTCAACAAAGTGAATAAGTTGACATTTTTAGAAATCTATTTTGAGATTCATATATTCTTATTACTAGACAAAGGACAGATTTTACTTGAATCTCACAATATACTCATAAGTAAGTGATTATGGCTGAACATGAGTCAACACTCTGCACTATCTCAGAGACATGCAAATGTTGTACTTAATAATCTCTTAACATTAACATCTAATAATCTGAAATAAATGAAAAGATTATTCAAATACTTACATTTCTAAGCCAATTAAATACTTCACAAAGTGAATGATTCATAGTTATTTCAACAATTGTTTTAATATTCCATGAAATACAAAACTACAAATTGATACACATCTTTTTAATATTGTTATAGACACTTTCTAGAAATGTAGTATGTTACACTGAATTTAAGGGTCATCTGTTTCTATTAACAAGATAGAATTCTTTAGATTGAAAACTGACTCGCATTTGTCTTTATCCTGGAATACTCTGTTCTGAGATGGTTCCCCCTCTCTTTTAACATCAAACTGGTAAAATAGTCTCAGGGGAACTAGCAGAGGCACATATTTCATATCCTGGGCACAAAGGCAATTCCCTGGCTGGATTAAGTTTAATATTACTAGTACACAGAACATTTTACATCAGCCTTATTAAATTCAACTCTCACCTTACTATAGACAAAGATTAAAAAAAAAAAATAGAACATTGGAAAATGGACAAATAAGAAAAGGCAAGGAAATGAGCCCAATTCTGTAGGGGAGCGGAGACCCTCTCAGAACCATATATCCTCATGAACAATAACAGCTTACATAAAAGTTGCCATGCTCAGAGATCTCCCCAGTACCATCATCACAGACAGTGTTTGAACATCAGAGGTGGAGGTCCCTGTAGCTAATTCTCCGTTCCTTATAGAGCCATCACTCCTGTTCTGTAGGAGTATGTGCATAAGTAGACACCCAGAGATATTCAAAAGAGCAGTAAATCAGAAAGACAAAACCAGATAGGAATAAGGGAAAACAATCCACAGAGTTTATCCTTCCTTAAGATGCCAATTTCTCTCTGACATTCTAACATGTAACATTTTGGGCTGAACATCAACAAACAGATATTCATGATCTTCAATTCATTAATCTTTATGTCTCAAATAGTTTTGAAATTACTGTATGATTATTATTTGCTTTTTAATAATTGGATAAATCTTGTGAAAAACAGCAGAATATTTAGACATTACAGAACCAACCATACCCATACATATTTAGAAGAAATGACACAGTGGAATACAGCAAAATAAATTATAAGTTCTTGCACCATTTGATTCATGCACCAATGAATCTTACTCCCTTCCTGGGGAAAAATAGTTTTTGAGAGATTGAGCATATTCCTAAAAATAACTCTTGCTTCTTTGTGTTGTAAAATGTACCATGGCTTTGACAAACGTTGAGGAGTGAGCACTTCTGTCAAGTTCTATTTTGTTCAGTTTCATGTTATATAATCTTACAATCAGTCTATTACAGCAGTTTGCACTGTTTCACTTATTTCTATTAATACATGCATTTTTGTACACGTTTCTCTTTAATTTATTAAATTAAATATGCAATATTTGTATGCAATTTCCCTAGTGCATACAGTTCTTACAAGTGAGGTTATATAGAATAGTTTGCTTTCCTGTGCAGCATTTTTTTTTCCTGTAGTTATTATTTGCCATGTACAAATTGGAATAAATGCAAATTTTAGGATATAATCTCCACATTCACAAAGTGCAAATTAAATAAGTTTTTATTCAAATATAAACAAAATACATTTTCTCTTATGCCTTGGAACATTCCTGAGCTATCTGTTTCATGGAGTTAGTATACTCTTTCACATCAGGTCAAAATATTTTTCAGTTTAGTCTAATATTGCAGATTTTGACTAGCAGCACCATTATAACACAGTAAAATTTATTTTGAGGAAAGACTTCCATAATGCAGAGCTTTTCTTCATGTCTACAAGATATAGAAATTTACTTTCTGTATTGTCCATACCTAGGAAGGTATATGCAGTGGTCATAAAATTATTGTTTACCATTTCAGGAAGGCAATAATGAACATAATGCATTCTCATAAGTTCCTTATTTATTTGCTTGCATTCATTTTAGCCTATTACCCATTAAAATCAGTCCCAAAATGTTAGCATTTGTATTTGGTATGGATTTTAGCATAAGAACAATCCTATCCCCCTCTCTTCAACTTATATACCCCCTCTTCACCTTTTGCTTTCCACACTTGAACAATCTGAATGATTCATTTCATGGTTTTTATTAACCATAGCTTGTCAAGTTCAAACTAGATGAATTGTAATTAATTTCAATTATGAATAGTGGAAACAAGCCAACTTTGAACCACATTTTATGAAATTGGTGTGCTGTATTTTATCACCTTTAATCACAGTTTGCTTATCAGGACATAAATTGAAATTATGTCCGATCTAAAACAGAAGAGAAAATTTCCACTCTTTTCATGGTTGGAACAAGAGACAAAAGGGGAGAAGAAGCTGTGTAGGTCCAGGAGTAAATCAGGTTTCTTCTTGTGACTGAGTGCTACGTAGAAATACAACTATTTTCTTCTGAAGTTTTTAGGAAGTGCTAGTAATCATTGAATCTGCTCTTCCAGTTTAGTTATTTTCAGTATGACATGCTTACCTAGAACAGTGAGAAAAGCCTTGGAAGTCTTGACGGGCATAGTAAATAAAGAACAGGTATATTGCCCTTCATCTGACAATGAAACATCGGTGACTCTGATGGTCAATTCATGCCATGAAGCTCGAAGCAGTTCAATCCTATTGTCCCTCAAGGCTGTAAACCAAAAATATAGAAATATATATATTCATTAATAAGTGTAGTAAATTCTACATTCTGTATGACAGTTATTTGGAGCTAGAAGAAATATGTGTGGTATAGTTTTATCTAATAAATAAATATTATTAACAGATACAGCATGACATTTACGTACATGATGATTTCTAAAGGACAATTTTGACAAATACATTAGTGTTCAAAAACAAAAGAAAAAAGAATAGTTTCAGTTTTGTAAAATAGTCTTTTTGGAAGGCAGTACATTGTTACCATCAAACAAAGCATAATCCTAATGTTCATTCCCCTTTTATATGTTATAGCATTTTGAAGTATATGTAATTAAAGTGCTTGTTGCTTATAACAACAATAACAACAACCTGGCAATTCTTGCAAACCAGATGCATCATGCTCAATCAGTGCTTAAGCTACATGCTGAGTTTATATACCACAACCTTATGCTTGGTTAAAGCATTGCTAAACATACTTATTTTTTTCATGCTATTTTGTGTGTGTAGTCTTTGAACAAGTGCTTGTTCTCATCAGCTGAAGGGAACAAAATGTTGTGAGAGGTTCTCTTTATACCTGAAGATCCCTCTTTAATGTCTTCAGATCCCAAGAAAGGCCACATATATCTGTTTATCAGAAACCAGGAGTCTAGGGAGACCTGGTCTGAGCTGAATGGCCAGTCCATTATATGAAGAGAAAAGGAGAGGAGAGGAGAGGAGAGGAGAGGAGAGGAGAGGAGAGGAGAGGAGAGGAGAGGAGAAGAGAAGAGAAGAGAAGAGAGAGAGA